CATGCTCCTTCTCGAACCCAATTTAAAGCACTATTAGACATTTATTTATGCGAATCCTCGCGCTAGCGAGCATTCTGCCCCGCGCTGAGAACATAAAGAGCAGTGCTACACCCTTTTTTCACTTGTGCCTTTCAGGTGAACGACAGCCACTGACCGACAAGAACAAAACCGACCCGTGAAACTTGGGCAAAAGCCTCGATCCTGTGTATCAATCCGTGAATCCGTGAATCCGTGAATGCACCGGATTTGTGACTCTGAACTTATTCTGAAGGTCACGCACGCATTTGATTTTTCCACGATGGTCTTTTAGGGTGCAAGGTTCTTCGGATTAACGGTCCCTTATAGGTCATAAAATTAATGTCACCTGTCACGAAACAAAGTGAATCGAGGCAAATCATATCTCGTGTGTACCCTGCGAGTGGGAGAGCTTACTTGGTCCCCGATTCTTCGTGGATGATGTTCCTTTACGAGACAACTAGACCCGTCGAGTGTGTCAAATTGAGCTTGGGTTTATGAGATGGATTACCTGGATACAATAATCTTCGCTTGTCCCAATGGTTTGGTTCACAAGCCCTTCAAAGCTTCTAATGCGGAAGACCGGGATCCATTAAATTGGACCGGGTGTTATCCGAGTGAGGAACAACTGAACAACTGCAACTCACCATACCAACACTACCGACAGTCCTGTCGATTTAATCTTGGTCACCTTCTTCTAACAAACACCTACTGGAACCTTGGGAGCAGTGCTTGTCTCTGGTATATATGGTCTAAATCGTCTGTTGTCGTGGTCGTTTCAAGAAAAGGTGGACTCTTCGGTATGGTCCGTTGGATGTCCCTTCCCCATGTCGACTCTCAATAATAAGGTTATTTCTTAGCTTGTGCGTCGCTGGTGATACCGTCTGTCCGACTCTCTCCCAGATTCGCGGATGCTTAACCCCTCAGCCAGCTGGGTCATCCACCCCTTCCACCGGTGTAGCCTCCTGTCCGGCCTTACTTGCCTAACATTTACCACTCATCTATAACCCTGTGAGCTCCGTTCCTGCGCGTCGTTTGTTCCTAATAGTCCCAACATGTTGGAATATAGCTTACTGCACATCCCGACAAGACCTGCTCTGAGCTATCTTCCCATCTCTTTTTGCTGTAGCGCGACTTCGACGATATGACTGCAGATGGATTGGTCCATCTTTCTTCACCGGCATCCGTCCGAGCACGGCCTATTGCGTCATGTGTAACTACATAGTATCCGCTACTGCCGACACAACTGCACATGTCGCCGAGTAGCCTGCATAGAATATCTTTTCGTGTTTCGTTAACTCTGTCGACCCATCCGTCCACCCGGATTTTGCTGAGACTCTGAGATGTTTTACGCCACATTTCTAACAGTTGGTCTAACTTCCTGCTGCAGAAATTTGCTCCTTGATTGTTGTATGGTTGGCGGAGTGGCCTACAGCGACACACCCATTCTGGGAGAAACACATTTGCTACAGAAATGGCTGATGTGTATATACCGAGCAGAGCGGTGCTGGGGTATTCCATTTTACCAACTTGTACACTGTCCATGGTATTATTCGCACTACTCGAGGTAGCCCAGTGGTTAATTCGCCAGCTTACGGACCGGTTGGTCGGTGGTTTGAACCCAATTTCAGCGTCTCCACCACCGACCTACCGGTCCTTAAGCTGGTGCCCTAACCAGTGGGCGAGATGGCTCAGTGGTTAGCGTGCGAATTTGCTGACCAGGAGGTCCGTGGTTTGAACCCGATCTCATTCTCTCGACTTCCTCTGTCTAGGCTTGGTCAACCTGGCAGTATCCCAGCCCTCGTGCCTCCTTCCGTCGGAATGGCGGGTAGGCACCAAAAGGGTGCTACAGCCGAACGTCACCCTTTTTACTATTTTTACTGGAATAGCACTGTCCACTAAAACTTGCTGACATGCTTCGGTGCCTCGTATGCATTAATTGGTCTGGCCATTAGAGCCTTTCTTGGGTTATTTCAAACGCTTTCTGTCTTCCAGAGATTACTCACTCACTGTGTACTGCACTTGACGCCTCGCCTTTCTTGTCACGGTACAAACTTTTGTTCCACTGGTGTTGCCATTTTCATTGTTAGTTCACGAACGAGCGACCCATCTCATCAACTTAGTTCACCTTATTTTTATGTTTGCTGGCCCCCGAACGGTGTCGGTCATCTGTCTCGGACCGTATTAGCTGGTCCTATAGTGCATTTCAATCCAAGGTCATTGCCCTGTGCAGTGAGTCTTGCAAAGGACAGGTGCGTACGGATTATGATCCGTTCTCCCAGATGTACGGACTGGAGTTTTCCACAACCTAAACGATAGCGTGCCCCTCTTCTGTCACTGGATAGTTTCACTCCACCAAATTCAGTACTTGAGGGGCACAATTATTACCGGCTGTTCCCGTTCTTATTTTAACAACCCTGCCATTGTTACGAAGGATGCATCAAATTTTAAGTAAAATATTTTGGAGAAGTCTGAAAAAAAACCGGCGTTTTGGTGCATATAATAGTTACTATCAAAGCCGGAAACGCTTGTTGGTATTCGACTGTCCGTTTACATTTGGTGTCCTATCTAAACATGGCGTACAGTGGTTCCGCTAGGTAAGCGAAATCTCCAATCTGTTGACGGTAATGTCCCGCAAACCTGAAAAATGCTACTTACCACCTTTATTGAATTCAGTTCGGGGTAATCTTTTTTGGTCTTAGGATTTTCGTGACCTACCCTCGGTCGACAGATCGTGTCGCACATAATTAATCTCCGGGTACGGAGAGTTGGTGCCTCGCCGGTTTGACTTTAAGTCCAGCCTGTCGTCACTTCTGAAGTACGAGCTTCAAGTGTGCCATTTTCTTGGTGGTCCCGTGGAAGGATCAGGACGTCCACGTAAACCACCTCATTCCGTTATCGATAGTCTGTGCAAACCTGACACAAACTATCCTTTTTGACTCTTGATAAGATAGACTACAACTTCTTGGGTCACACCTGTTTCCAGCTTCCCACCTAACAGTCCTTTAATTGTTCAGTTGTAACACCCTTTCGGTGCCTAGCTGCCATGCCACCCGAAGGAAGCACGAGGGCTGGGATATTGTCAGGTTGCCCAAGCCTAGACAGGGGATGTCGAGAGGCGGAGGTCGGGTTTGAGCCACAAACCTTCCGGTGAGTAAATTCGCGCTCTAACCACTGAGCAATCTCGCCCCAGTCCCTTTATGGTATTACGCAGTCCTGAGTGACTCACTCTGGATTGCCTTCTGCGTTGATCCTATGTTTGGTGACTACATACTGACAGATATCCTCCTCCGAAGTTTTGAGTACGTCCGCTTACTTCCTCGCCTTCATTTTTCCATTCGCTTCTCCTCAGCATGTTATGTTAGCCACGCCTGTCTGACAGATGGACTATTCGGTCAGTGAGGTCGATTTAACCTATTCTATGCAACAGAGCATAGTCGACTAATAAGTTGTGATATTGACACCAACCTTGATAGTAACACTACCCCAGTGCATTGGTTTCACTGTCAGTCTCGGTGTATTTGTTCGAGGAACCCACATTGCTAGTGCGTTAATCCCATCATCTTGACAGGTGGTTTCGGCGTTTTATGATGATATATTCTGCCACTGGAATTTGTGGTGGCGTGCTTTTAAATCATCCCAATTCAATAGAGGTTTCAGCATGTCCCCTCCAATGGTTGGATGGCTATCACGAATAAGACATTCCTACCACTGTGGACGAAACCTTATCTGTCCCACATCTCATATTGAGTGTTGTGGTCCCGTCGTACCAAGGCTTATGGCGTCATTAATTCTTCATCGTCTTATGGCGGCAGGTGAACCCCCAACCCAGGAACACTAAGTGGGACTTCGACCGGGTGGATGCTGTGTAGACCACATCCCTGCACTCTATCGGGTGTTAGAGCAACGTCATATGTGCCAAGGGCCCACAATCTTGGTGTTCCTTGACTTCAAGGGTGCGTTCGATTAAGCTCATTGGTCAGCACTGTTAACCACAATTGCTCAACAGAGTATGCCATACAAATTTGTGAACATACTACGGTCCCTATGCTCACATTTCGGAGCGTGATAATGCATGACGAACTCTCTAAAAGCTTCCCTATAGGAAGTTTTGTTTGACCAGGATGTCCACTCTCTCCGTTCTTGTCCAACTTCGCCATTGATGAAATAATGAGGCGAACGCTGGAAAGTCTTCAAAACTCCGGCGTTCAACTCGCTGTCGATGAGAACCTTGTCGATTCGGAGTCTGCAGACACCATTCTCATCTTCGGAGACGAAGCACAAAGCCTGGTAAATCAAATGACCACCATTATATCTTCTTTCAGCATGCGCCTCACACCTCCACAGTGCACGGTCATGCTTCGTAACGCTCAATCTCTGAAGCACCAGAGGTTGTGGAGAATTTTGCACACCTCAGTAGTTGTATTAGCTTTGACAGAGTTGCCTAATGAAGCCAGACCCAGGTCACACTTACCAATTTGCGCTACTTGATGAATCGAAATTGCATACCACTGGGTCTCAAGGTTCGTGTGTTCCAGGCTAAGGGTAAGCGCCATGTTCCTGAATGGTTGCGAGGCACGACCTTCGCGGACATGTGGTATGAAGCACCTTCAGGTTTTTGATCACCGATGACTCAGGAGCGTTTCTGGTGTCGGACAATGCTCAAAAGTTCGTAATGAGGTAATTAGCAGACGGGTTTGGTTGTCCACTAGGTACTTCACTCTCAGGAAACATCCAACTCCATCAACTTCGGTGGCTGGACCATTTGCTACGCATGTCGAAACGTCGTTTACTGAAAGGAGTGTTCTCTCTGTGCCTATCTCAGAATGGCGCAAAGTGCGAGAAGCACAACGTATGGGTTGACAGAAGTGTGGAAGAGAGTAATGCGGCGATTAGTGCGGCCCGCCTTCCAGGATCGGAACCCTTGGCTCTAATACGCTTGGCTGGACATGGCAAGAAATGGCGGAAGATTAATGTCAGTGGCGTCCGTGCTCTCAGTTTGTGCGCTTGGAGTTGAAGTTACCTGAGAACGCTTGCGATAGGCCGGCGCTAGGTCCTCTCCTTCATTCACTGATCTCAATTCTTTTCACTACAGGACTATAAATATAACTGTGATCTATAAACTATGGTTGTACGGCAGTAAAACATCAGTGTCACCACTGATGTTGCTGTCTCTGGTGATGATACTGATGAATCAGGACAAAAAAAGCGTTCAACTGTAGCACCCTTTCGGTGCCTAGCTGCCATGCCACCCAAAGGAAGCACGAGGGCTGGGATACTGCCAAGCCTAGACAGGGGAGGTCGAGTGGCGGAGGTCGGATTCGAACCACGAACCTTCCGGTCAGTAAATTCGCGCTCTAACCACTTGGGCCATCTCGCCCCCGAATCAGAGGACAATGAAGACCTGGTTCTGAACACTTAGGGTCGGTATGAACTACCGAGTGCCCACGTGTCCTACGGCATTGAGCTATGGAACAGATTCAGTCAGTCACTCTGAGTTACTGTGGATATACTAGCTGCTAAAGTTCCGGTCATTGGAAAGTTGGAACATTTTGATCCCCGCGGTTACAGAGGCAGGCAGGAAAGTTTCGAGCATCACGTCAATAACGAAGTTGGGGAAGAAATATGAGGGAGAGTTGCCTTGTCTTACACCACGACGTCGCGAACCCAGGAGAAAGCTTACTTTACACTCGTACGCGCATCTAGTGCTCTGACAGGGATATAAATTTTGAATGAATCCCTTTGATCACTAAAAGTTTCTGACAGTCGACAGAGTCAAAAGCAGCCTTTGGGCAAAGAAAAACATCAACTTGGGATGTTTGAAAAATCGGTGTTGTTCAAGGATTTGTCTCAAGGTAAAATTATAGTTGGTACATCCTGGTTCAGGGCGAAACCCAGTTTCTCACGAGTTTTTCTCCCCGATAATCGGTCAAAACAGTACCAGAGGGCACCTTGGATGCTACGACTACTAGGCTGATGCCACGATGGTTTTCAGATGACGTTCTCGAGAACTAAGATCACGGTAGCGGAGCTCCATTCCAGTGGCATGGTCAGAGTCAAGATGCACACACTAGATGGAACGACAATCTTCAATAGACGCTCTCTATCAGTGATTCAGTACCGCGTGATTCAACTGAGTCCATGACTGGCTTGTGATTGGTGGCCCCCAAGTAACTCAATGTGAGTGTACTTGGCAGGAACTGACAATTTTCAGCACGTAACTAAGGAAGTCGCTCTGCATTATTCGTACGCTGAGCATCGACTCCAAATCCATCGCATAACTTTGCTTCTTCCCAGGTTATTTGTCCAACTTTGATGTTCTTGTCACCCCCCAGGATGACGTATCGGGAGCAAACGCGATAGATCTCGATAAAAACCGTCTTTTTCAGATTCCGAACTAAGGTCTGTCGGTGCGTGTACTGGTACGACAAATAAACACCGTTTACTGCATCGACCTGCATTTTTCTTAACGGAAGCGGTCGACCTTACAACGCAAGGACTGTTAACTGTAATCTAGTCCAGTTAAGTGCTTTCAGCCCTGGGACTGAGTACTATTCTCGCATCGCACATACCACGAGCAATTGCTCCAGGATAATCAAATACCCCAAGAGTGAGGTGTTAAATATTTGAGCTCGTCCTAAGTGGATTGAGCTGCGTGACCTCATTGAGGTCTTGTACGCTTGTTTCGGACAAAATAAATCACAGAGGGAAAGCAAGGTTTCAGCAGGGGTTCCCTGTTGCCCATCTTGAATTATGGACGATAAAGGCCGCATCGTGGGTTAAATCTCTGGGACTTCGTAAGAGTTCGTCTTACTGGGCAATATTTTACCCACGGAATAATGGTTAGAGGAGTGGCAGTGCATTCGATGGACGGGGAGGGGTTCTGGGTGAGAGCCGGTTAACGGAGAAGTGCAAGGGTGAGTTATATTCTCCAGTAGCCCAGGTTTAAGAAGAGGGCATGCTTGTCTCAAGTCTGACCCACAAGGCAGTGAGAGTATTAGGGTTTTGTTCGGGGACCCTCTCCCTAGCTTCTGACTCAGAACACAGCCGCGAGACAGTGGTTTTCAGGCTTTTTTGAGACCCGGAGCCTATAGCTCATTGACCTGACCCACTTAGCTATAGCGGGCTGGCTCGGGGTAGAGAGAGAGAGAGTACAGCATAACCGTCTGGTTTTAAAAATATTTCAACCGTATTGAATAATGCTCCAGTGGTCATAGTCAACCGTTGCGTGATAAAAGTGTGCGGATTTCAGCGCTAACTTTTTGCAACCTGCCCTTCCATAAATATGGACATGCTGGTTGCTTAAAGGAACCGCCTTACTGCCTTCACACTCCTATCGCATAGAACAATACGACTTTATCCGCACACTATCTCGTAATACGATTTCTCGTAGTACGGGCATTTGCTGTTCGTCGGGCTGCTCCCCGTTGGCCTTCCCAACATGGTTGAACCCTTAGAAACTGAGTTCAGGCCAATATAGCCCACGGAAGCCCGACCACCAAGACAGAGTGACAGCTTTAGGGGGCGAGACGGCCGAAGTGGTTAGAGCACGAAACTACTGATCGAAAGGTTCGTGGTTCGAATCCGACCGACCCCTCTCGACTTCCCCTGTCTAGGCTTGGGCAACCTGGCAGTATCCCAGCCCTCGTGCAACCTTCAGGTGGCATGGCAGTTAGGTACCGGAAGGGTGCTACAGCTGAACGATTTTACGACAGCTTTAGGTTGGGAGATTGAAGCAGAAACGGTGTGACGCTATGGTGGAACGATGCCACTAACCGTGCCTCTTGGACAGCAGTGATTTTTTGTAGTCCTGGAAGTAACCCATCCTTCCCAGGAAGAAATTCGCTTGGAAGTAGCCAAATGAAGTAAAATGTTCGATCATAACAGTCCCCTGGGAAAGTGATTGGTAAAAAGGAGCTCCTTACCTATAGTCCAACTTTATTTTATTGGTTTGTTTCAGGCGTACTGGACAATTTGCGATGTATGCCATTCAGTTTGCCCGGGGCGCAGCTTTTTGTGGTTTCGTGAACTGTTTCGTTCATTAGTATCGTTCCTGCAACAGGCTTTAGGTTGATAATTTTTTGTTCTCTAGTTAACATCTCTTCTGAGATTGTCTGTTTCGTTCCAGATGCAATATCCGCTCAGCCTTCGATACTACCAGTTATGACAATGGATTTAGAAATAAACGCTGAGGAGCTGAACAATCTTCTAGTAAGTTTTTAAAGCTCGAGACGGCTCAGTGGTTAGGGTACAACTTTGTTGATCAAAAGGTCCGTGGTTTGAACTTAACCCCAGGATCTCGACTGCTCCTGTAACTTGGCAGTATCTCAGCCCTGTGCTTTACTCGGGTAGCAAGCCAGCTATGCACCGAACGGGTAATATTGTGCATTTTGTAATATTTCATCGCTGGTCCGATCTGATAGCTTGTTTCAGTTTTTCTTTTTCGCGATATTCTATTATAGGGCCAGAAACTCACTGAAATCCTGGCTGTTCTATATATCTTCAAATACCTAACAACCGACAGTCTTAACATAATGCAATTAGCACCAAACTGTGCTCGGGGTGGCTCGGGCATCGATTTCTAACTGGAAGGTCTTTGGGATAGGTTTACGCCTGATATATTGCTTCATCCCGGCCGAGCTAATACAATCTGATTACTTTTTAGACAGCGAGTTTCATCCAAACTACATGAGTTTATGGTTTTCGAAGCTGAACGCTCTGATGTGTTGTTGGTACCGATACAGATGTAGACGATAAACAGATGACTAAATATGGAGGGGTTGCGCTAAACATGACTCGAAAGAAACTCCGCTATACTTACTGATTTCTTCCTGTAAACGAAGCCTATCTGTGCTAAAAAGCCGAGAACCATTGTACAGCTGTTCCATCCTTGAAATCATCCACCACATAATGATCCTTCGGAGAGCATTGGGTACATGCCCGTCGTAGACCTAGATTTCTGTTGCTACTATGTATGTATCGTGCTCACAATGGTGACAGTGAAACGCTTAGTTATCATTTTTGGTGATGTAAACTAATGCTACTTGCACACATTTACATACAAGGAAGTTAATCACCAAGGGGTTCACTCTCGTGCAAATGGCTCCTGTGGAAGGATGGACCGGCTTGCTGAAAGCGCTCACAAAATTTCCCCGGGAACTCGGTACTGGTCACTTTTCTAAAATCACCTAGTCTGCACCGCTTGCAGCCACATGCCTCTATCCGAAGGCGTAAATTCTTGCTGATGTGCATAATTCACTTCCTGGTTGGAGCTGTCAACATGACCTATTCTAGTTTACTCTCGTTGTCAATTCTGTTCGAGGATTTTCCGTGACCTGTCGCTCTCGGGTCCTGCTGTCACTGGATCCAAGTGGATTCTTGGCTGGCAACCTAGTCTCCCAAAAAACTTTCACATGGGCCTAGTGACGACACAACGAAATGGTGAGTGTTGCCTTACCACGCTACGAAAAAAGAACTTCCAACCAGGAATTAGGGCTGCTGAATTGGAATACAAACCGTGTGATGATCACAGACAATCATGGAACCCGATTGTCCCATGGGTGGCAATCGGATGCAAGGCTAGGGTAGTGAGCTCGAATAAACTCCAGGCTTAACGGGGTGTCTGGATAGGATCGATCCAAGATCCAACAATCTGTGTCGGTTCTTTTCTTCGCATCTGTTCGAGAGCCCCACTGTTTGAGATCGGTCGTGTCAAGAAGTGCATCCTCCGTGTGGGGTTGTGAGTATCGTTCATTCAGATATCCCTCTGTTACTCCGTCGGTTTGGTGAGTAGGCTGTGCTCTCTCGAAGTATAAGAAGTTTAGGAAATATCAAGTGGCATGTTTCTCATTTTATTAGGTGATGTTTTTTGGGACAGGGGGCACTGCATTTGGCTAAGTATATCACTTGAATTATGTGTGCAGATGCTCATTACTCCGCATAGTTGAAAACGAAACGACTTCACTTCGGTTCTCTCTTGTTTCCATATATTTCTGCTTTCATGCAGTTTGCCAAAACCCTCCTCACGAATTCGGTCTTTACAGGTGTTGGTCTTGCCCATGTAGCGTTTTCCTAGCTTAGACGGCGTGGTAAAATACCTATGTGACTCGACTAGCAAACAGCCAGCAACCGAACTTCCTGACCACACCGTTTGCAATGAAAAAACGTATACAAGTAAATGTTCATCGTCGAAAATATTGAAATTATTGCCCCATTTTGTAAACATTTATTTTCCGATGTTCCACAGTCTGTGTTACTCAATAAGCTGAAGAGATTCCTTGCTGTATCATCTCATCAACAGTCGTTTTATATATTATTGACTTGTTAGTCTAATTCGTTCTTGGTTGCTTGTGGAAGTCTCTTGTGCACTCGAATTGATGATATGGACAGATGGAAACGGGCCTCCAAATACCCACTAAGATTCCCAAAACATCATGCTTGTTTGCAAACGTTCACAGAATTTCTAGAGAACAATCTGGGCCACCTCTTTTGCTTGATGATCGGTTCAACGGAAACCGTTACCGCTTAGCCGATTCAGCTAGTCTAGTACGGATTTGGAATGCCCCATTAAAGACCGGTTTTCACGCCGAAGTCCGCCAACTGTTAATTTCTGGCTGTATCTGATACAATCTGATACTCAATCAAGTTAATCGAGATCGTGCGCCTATAAACCATCAGTACGTACACTGAAACTCCCATAGTTTGTTTGTGATCGTCCACCAAACAGATTACTTAAACGAGTATGCTTTGGCGTTACAAACTGTCGAGCCCTGTTGTGAAAATGCATCTATCGAGAAAATCTGAAAACATCACAAACGAGAGATTCAGCTGGGTTTCACGTGAGTCTTTCGCAAAACCAAATTAGTTTGCAAATGAGTGTATTTCAGTTCAAACGTATTAGGATGTCGGACCATCCTTAACGACGCTTTATGGTTTATTCGATTCACCAATGCACGTAACCTCTCATTTTTGCTGGCGTATGAGTTGCTCCGTAATCGTCACATTTTCTAATTCTCAATGGAAAAATACTTTTGCCTCTTGATTAACTAATCACCATACTAAGACACATTTCCCAAGTGAGATCAATCCCTTTAGTGTTGGCCTCAGCTTTCTAAGCTGTGACGTTGTTGCTCTATCGTGCGCTTGACTTGTTTTCTTCCATAGATGGGCTCCTCGGATGGATTTGTGAAAAAATCTCAGAAACGCAAAAAGACGTTGAATCACCTTGGGAATACAAAGCGTACAAAAACAAGTGATGAAGTTTCTTCTTCGTTAGCTGAAGGTATGTCATCGTGTCCCCTAACGTTGGACCATCTTTGTTCATAGATCCCAACTCAGCTGTGAGAACTTCTCGGGAAGAGAATGCATTCGAAAAGACGATTGAACTAGATCCAAAGGTTGCGGAAGAAGTTGTGAAACGCATCGAGCAGAAGAATAGCCGCACTCTATGTGTGTCAGGCTTGCCTCCGAAAACCAACCTCCATCTGATGGAACAGCTCATCCCAGATATACATACAGCACGTATACAATGGAATACCATAACTCACAAGTGTACGGGCACAGTTTATGTTGAATTTGGATCGGCTGATATGGTCGAACAGTACAAAGCGAAACTTGATGGCATGACTTTCCAACACAAAACATTGACGGCCAAGACTGGAAATTTTCTTCCGGAAAGTGCAGGTAACCGCGCGGGTCTCATTCAACCTCATTCATCTCTCCAACACAGATCGGTATGATTGCAAAACACTCGTACTACATGGACTTCATTACAAGACACATGTTGGTGAAATCGCCAAACGGTTTCCATCGGCCACTTCTATTAAGTTCTCTTCGGACCACAAAAAGTGGGATCGACAACGTCCCGCTTTGGCCTATCTCACTTTCCCCACCCCACAGGATGCTTTGCTTGCATTCGATACTAGACAAAGTTGTACAATTCGTCGGAGACGATTTAATATAACATGGTTTTTACGAAAGACTGAGGAGCAACAACACCCACCGAGGTGAGTTGCTAATCGATCGTTTTTAAAAAAATCTTTTTCTCATTTAGAAAATGTCTGTTTGTCCGTGGACTGAAGAAATCAGTCACAGAAACGGACCTACAGTCTGTATTTCCACAGGCTACTTCGATGTCCATACAGCCGAAGACAGGAGAAGCCTACCTTCACTATGACTTGGAAGAGGACTGTGTACTTGATTGGCAGAATGCACGACACTTGCAACTTTTTGGACGGAAAATTCAGGTTACTTTTGATACTTCGGTCAGGAAACCGATTGCCTTGTCTATGTTACATCCGGGGTCGTCACAGGTAACAGCAAACTCCGGGACTTTCGGCAAGTAGGTAGTAGTCTTTCCAACTGTCTTTGTTGTCGAGTTGCTCATTAAACTGGTTTTTGAGAAAAATATGTTGGTGGAACGCTCCACTTTTCAAGAAACATCTCTAGAAGAATTCAAAATATTTCCACAGGAGGGAATATTTCCTTGTTAGGTCAACAAGAACTGCATCGCGTATTTTCTGCACCAGGGTGAGGAGTAGCAACACTAATAATCGTTCGGCTGTAACACCCTTTCAGTGCCCAGATTGTATGCCTTCCGAAGGAAGTACGAAGGCTGGGATACTACCAGGTTGCCCAAGCCTATACAGTAGCAGTCGGGATACCGCGGTTGATTTCGAACCACGGTTATCGGGGTCAGTAAATTCGCGCCCTAACCACTGAGTTATATCGAGCCCACAGGGTGAGGACGTTTCATTTGTATTCTGGCACTTTTCAAAGAGCTTTCAGTAAGACAAACTGACATTTCCCATCTCATGTGAAATGAGTATTCCGGATATTGGTGCTCTTGAATTTCCACGATTCACACCGCTGCGACTTGGTGAATCCGTTGACCAGGTCACTACGAGCCAGTGTTTTTCTTCAACTGACTAAACTTGAATGAGATTCATGATCACAGCTTTGTGCGACAATGAAAACAGCGGTAATTATTGAGAACCCGATAAGTTCTGAATTATTGTGTATTGCTCCATTCCATAATTAAACTTTATCACTTTCAGTCGCTGTTTCAACTGTGATATGTCCTAACGATGGTGTTCTAACTAGCTGTTGTCCCCACTCCAGTGCCTTATCGTCGGAAATAGATTCGCCAAGAAGGAATACAACCGCTTTATTGTGAGTGAAAAAGTTACAGGGGACATCGCGGTATTTAAAACAAACTTTTTGCCTTGAATCTAGACTGTCTGATCGGCTTTGGGTGAATACTCACCATCGTCGCCCACGCCTCTATGGCATGCCTAAGCACTCATCATCGTCAGCTGTCGTTGAATTGATTGACTGCTTGAGCATCCAATCGGCAGTTGGCTTTTCTGGCCTGGGTGCTTGACGGCTTCGCTGCGATTTTGACGGTTTCAGTAGATTTCGGACATTCTGGCGAGATGGCTCAGTGGTTAGTGCGCGAATTTATTGACCGGGAGGTCCGTGGTTCGAACCCGACCTCTGTCTCCCGACTTCCTCTGCCTATGCTTGGGCGACCTGGCAGTATCCTAGCCCTCGTGCCTCCTTCGGGTGGCATGGCATCTAGGCACCGAAAAGGCGTTAAAGCTGAACGATTTCTTTCGACTCTGGCATTATTTTCAGGAATCTGACCTTCCTGAAAGATAAGTCAAGCATATGTATTCGAGGCCAACTTCAATTGATTCCACTCTGGTTGGTTAGTGTATCAGCTATCTCTAGAAGTGGTGGTCGTTTGGCGACTCAACATGTGTCCGCTGTTCAGTTTCAAACTTTGTGCCGTCGAGGAAGGGGGTTGCAATGAAAAGTTCCACCTCAATTAACTAAGAACCGTAAATCATTATGGTGCACCAACCTGAAACAGATAGCATACGTGTCTCCCTGTTAGTTATGAGTTCAACAACGAACCTTTTCGTTATGTACTTTTGACATCTAATGAAAAGAATTGGACAGTCGTTCTTCATCAATTCAACCATATCTAGTTTTATGATCCCGTTCTTGCTTTGCTGGCTTCAGGAAACGTGAGAAAATTCGTGGACCTTCCGTGAATGCCTCTGAGTCAACAAAACTTGCCCACAAAAAGAGGAAGAAGAAACATCACTTGGAATCGCTGGCTTCTTCGAAACCGTCGTTGTTGTCAGCCCAGGTTGATCTCTCTCGCAAACCTACCAAACTGAAACACAAATCGAAACTGTTCACTGGCAGCAGCAGTCATTGATAAATGGTGCCATCATCTTCCGCATGCCCATCCAATGTAAATCACATCACTTCCAAATACACCTTACCGAACGTCCACATTTCTTTCTCAGCCCAAGGCTTATTTCCCACATACAGTGGTTCACCTCCATAACACCAAATGCTAATTAAGTACCATCAAGGTCCCCGGAACAACCTAAGCAGCCTCATATCCTCTCGCAGCTCAAAAACAACATAAACTCCACATGCGTTGCAAAGGCCGTGAGTGTTTCTGTGTG